CTAGCATTTGTTTATTTTAGCTTTTAGCTAGTGTTTTGCTACTTTTGACTTTTAGCTAGCATTTTGTTTCTTTTAGCTTTTAGCTAGTGTTTTGCTACATTTATTTTCTATGTAGTATTTTGCGTTTTAAGCTTTTAGCTCGAGCTTTGTTTTTTTTTTTTTTTTAGTTTAACAACTCAGTTTCAGCTTCTTCAGAAAATTTTAGCAAAGTCCTTCAGCGCGCAGAATTCACATGCAGTGCTTCTACTTTCATTCTTGTCACTCGCCATTCAAGAAGAATAAAATGCTTCCGGTTCCTGTCAGTCCCCGAACAGATGGTTCATCCCAACAGCCTGACAATAAGGGTTTTCTTTGGGCTTATTAATGTCCAGCCATGAGGGTTCTGCCTTAATCATGCACCTTTGTGCCAGAGGGAACTCCTTAAATTGAGCTCCCCTCCCTGCCCCGTTGAGCTCCAGTCCTGTGGAGCGTAAGGGGCTCACAGCAGGACTCTGCTTGGACCACAAAACCCAAGAACTGACAGAGAGCCAAAGACAGAAGGATCATAGGTGGAGAGCAGCGCTGAACATCGATCCAGGCCTCTAATTAGATACAATCTGTTTAAAGTGTCACTCCTTCATCCTGGCCTGTCTGTTCGTCACAGAGGCAGGTTTCAGCGGGGGAGGGGGACAAAGAAAAGCGTCTGTCATAATAGCGCTGTACTTGAGGACAAAAAGATACTGTAGAACAGGAACTGGGCATCGTTTCATTTTGCTTAAATGTTTTCTTTTTTATTATGAATTTCTTGGCCTCTAATTTCGCTACATGAAACTGTTGCTACGTTGTTTGTAGCACATAGAGTCACTGTTTGTAAAAAAAAAAAAAGACTTTGCTTGGTGGGAAAAAGACTCCCAACGCGCTGCCAGTCTGGTGCAAATGGCAGCCAACTCTGCTGAGAAAATGCACAAAAACTCGTCGCCTGACTACAGTTTATTCAAACACGACCGTCAGAGTATTGCTTTGTGCCAGTGGGGACGTATTGATCCTCATGTTGACGACAAGTGAACAAATACTTTCCTATAATCACTCATCCTTTCTTATTAACTTTGTTTTTATTGTGCTCCAATTCACACAAATGCAATAAATAAATAAAAATTGTAGGGAAAAGGTCGATGTTTTAACTTTTAGCTGCTAGCTAGTATATTGATATTTTTTACTAGCCTTTTGCTACTTTCAGCTTTTAGTTAGCATTTTGCTTCTTTTAGCAAATATGTGGTGTTTTTGCTACTATTGGCTAGTGTTTTTCAGCTAAAGTTTTAGGTAGCATTTTGCTGCTTTCGGCTTTTAGCAAGCCTTTTTGCTGCTTCTAGCATTTAGGCGATGTTTTGCAAATTCTAGGCAGCATTTTATTACTTTTGACTTTTAGCAAGCGTTGCATTTCTCTAAGCTATCATTTTAATATTTTCATTTTTAGTTAGCATTTTGCTCTTTTTAACATATATGTAGTGTATTGCTACATTTGACTAGTGTTTTTCAGCTAAAGTTTTAGGTAGCATTTAATTACTTTTGGCTTTTAGCAAGTCTTTTGCTGCTTTTGCATTTAGGTAACGTTTTGCAGATTTTAGCTAGCGTTTTATTACTTTTGTTTTAGATAGCACGTGACTATGGTACTGTTGGCTTTTAGCAAGCGTTGTGCTTCTTTTAGCTAGAATTTTGCTACTTTCAGCTTTTAGTTAGCATTTTGCTTCTTTTAGCAAATATGTAGTATTTTGCTACTTTGGGCTAGTGTTTTTCAGCTAAAGGTTTACGTAGCATTTTGTTACTTTTGGCTTTTAGCAAGTCTTTTGCTGCTTTTAGCATTTAGGTAGTTTAGCAAATTAGCTAGTGTTTTACTACTTTTGGCTTTTAGCAAGTCTTTTGCTGCTTTTAGCATTTAGGTAACGTTTTGCAGGTTTCAGTTAGCGTTTTACTACTTTTGGCTTTTAGCAAATGTGCTTTTTTAGCTATCATTTTGATACTTTCAGCTTTTAGTTAACCTTTTGCTTCTTTAGTTAATAAGTAGGCCAATGTTTTGCTACTTTTGGCTAGTGTTTTTCAACAAAAATGTTGGTAACATTTTGCTACTTTTGGCTTTTAAGTTAGCTTTGCACTCCTTTTAGCTTTGAGCTAGCATTTTGTTATTTTCAGCTTTAACGGCTCATTTTCATCTTCTTCAGCAAAGTCATCCAGCACTCAGCGTTCACACGGCATTTCTGCAGAAAATTCAGTTTTATCTGGTTTGATTTTTTTTTTTTTATAATTTATCTCATAAATATAGTTGAGAATGTTTTGCTTTCTAAAAGTGTTGAATCAAATTTTAATAGAAGTCCTACAGATGTTCCTTCAGATGATTTTTTTTTGGCTAAATTAATTCATATATATATATATATAAATGCTGTACAGTCACATTCTCATGCAAACAAAACCCAGATGGAGCTCACTTTATCATGGTGGACACCAGTTTCTGACCTTTCGGACTGATCTTGCGGACTTCCTCCACGTAGTCCTTGGTGCGATAGTCGATGGCATGCGTGACTCCGCCCTGGCTGATGGTCTCATGTTTGCTGGCCGATGCAGTGCCGAACACGGTCACGTCCTTCACCGTCTTGCACAGCTGAGTGGCTGCAATGCCCACGCCGCCTGAAGGAAATGTGGAAAAATAAATATGGTACAGGAACACGACTTATCAAGAGTGTGGACAGCGATTCAAGACGGAGTGAAATAAGTTTCCGCCGTGAAGACTTTCACAAAACGAAGCTTGACATGAACCCATTGGAGACATATTTTCAATGGCAGGTAATGAGATTTGTATTATTTATTGTGCCAAACCGAGTTGATCACACGGTGGTTGTTTTGCTCAGGGGTACGTAAGAAGAAGCACATTAAACACAATCACATTAACCCAGCTGGCCTGAGGAGAGTAAACACCCACACACAGGCACAAAGTCCCATACATCCATCGCCACAGAAAGCAGCCATTGTCGCTCCGTACTAAATCCACTTTTTCTATTTGCATTTTCAAGACAATCTAAAATTCCACAGGAAGACAAAAGTAGCTGAATTATGAGTTTGTTCGGACGCTGTTGCACCAACGACTCAACAGCCACATTGTCCACGACCTAAATTACAAAGTCGAGATTTTAGAATATCTGTGTTTTTGCTCACCACGTTCGAATGCGTGTGCATAGCTGTGGCGGACGCCTCGGCCAGTGTTTGCTGAGGGAGCCGGTGCGAGAACTAATAGGTTACTGATAAGCTCGGTTGAAATGGAAGCTGACTGGAGCTGAAAGGCGTCCATAAAGGTCATTCATGCCTGACCAAGTAAAGAGCACATCTTATCTGAGGCAAGAAAAATAAAGACAAACAAAGGCTGCATCATCGCCCGCCACCGCCTGTGTGTGTTTCTCTGTATTGTTAGCAAAATATCTCATGAATCATGATTTTAATGAAACTTGCAGAAAGTAATCCCTGGATGTATCGTATATCTAGAAGCTCAATAACTTTCGGAGTGAACCCAAACCCAAAATCTTAGCAAACATGAAAACCATCAGTACCAGTCACTTTTGCAAGTATCGAGTATTTGGGGTTCGTAGCTGAGACCGATCGCCAACTCGTACTCTCAGGACAAAGAGATTGTGTTTAAAACTTTGATATTAACTATTAGTAAAATACTGCATGAACCACAGATTTTAAAGGAATTTTCCCAAGCGATCGTGGAGTATACGTGCACAACTGATACTCTGGTTGAGTCAACCCAATTCAAGATGGCTGCCACAGCCAACAGGTCTGCGCAAACACAAAAATAGCCATAACTCGCCCGGCTTGATCGATTTTAAGCCTAAATTTGGTGTGATATTAAATGAAGGTCTTTCGTGATACGTACTTTGAGTGCAACGTTAGAATGGATTTCAATGAAACTCTCAGAAAGTAATTATTGGCTTTACATCTACAACTAATTGCTGTAATTTCCGGCCTATAAGACGCTACATTTTCCACACACTTTGAACACCGCGACTTATACAAAGCTGCAAGTAATTTATGGAATTTTTTTGACGGGCTAACGAGCTTCATGCCGCCAAAACATTTACCCTCGTCTCACCCGGTGCTCACGTAGCTGTCGAATGCACGTCTCTCTTGTAGGGTGGGTCCTTGTGACTCACTACCTGTATATATAAAGGTAAAAAACCCTGACCAATGAAATCACAGAACCGGTCACAGAGGACCAATGAAACTTGATTCCTTGGTCCGTTCTCCCCTCCCTCTCCCTGTGGGAGTTTTCCCTTTCGTACACAACGGAGTATTTGCAGCCACTCGAAACAAACGTGAATCGTAAATCAAATCGCAAATCCGCCTCGAGACGAAAGTGACGGTGAGAGCGACAACCGAAGAGGCTGAGGACGTGTGTGAAGCTTTTCTGAGGTTATTCTAACACTGAAGAAAACGACTTCAGGGGTTTTACTGCACAAGAGAAATGAAAATAGAGATCAATGACTTTTCCTGTTAGGCTACTGTATTTTTTTTTTCTTAACCAGCTGTTTTACAGGCACTGTTTAGGAAAAAAATATATACTGTACATATTTGTGTATGTTACCATAGTATTTAATAAAAAGTTTAAAAATCTTTCCGTGTAAATAAGTCATGTTACAACGTGAACACCTGCGGCTTATACACAGGTGCGGCCTATATGTGTGCCATTTTTTTTTTTCTTTTTAAATTTACTGAGTGCGGCTTATATTCAGGTGCGCTCAATAACCCGGAAATTACGGTAACTTTTGGCGTCGTCCCAATTCAAGACGACTCGTCACAACTCATCAGCTTTAGTCTACACAAAAATAACCACAGCTCAGAGACTTTTACAGATATTTAGCTGATAGTTGGTGTGTAAGCAGCCGAAAGTCACTCAACGTATATTCTGAACACTAACAGGTCATGCATGAAATTATTTTCAACGTTTGACAAAAATGGTTACAACTTTATTATTAAATTAAGAAAATTTAAATTTTAGAGGGATAATATGAACATGTTAAGTGAAGTTAAAAAAATTATTTGTTTGTTTACACAGCAAACCCATTTATTAATCAGAAAGAGAAGAAGACGAGCATGCATGGGAAATGATTTCTTATCCAAGTGGAGGTTTTTTTCTCTTTACGAGTTGGGAACAAGCAGAAGCTGCAAGTTGCATTGCTCTCATTCTAAATATAGAATATTGTGCAGGAATTATCATTGCGTCTGTTGCACAAAGAGGCAGTGGTGCACCTCTGTGTCGCTCCATCTGAACATAAAATCTTTTCTGAGCCACTGAGCCTGTCTAATGGAACCGTTTCCTCTACAACAGCCAGGCACTTACGCTCTGTGGCAGCATAATCACAAAAAAAGAAAATAATCTGTCCAGTTCATATATTTCTTGAGATTTAACAAGATTTTAAATATTGTTTTTTTAAAGTCTTTGTTTGATAGCTTGAGCACATTTAGGAGGAAGAGGCCACAAGTCACGCCTGCCGTCAGCCATAATCGAGCTGACAGGAAAACAAAATCAAGGCTGTTGCTGTGGGATGAGAGCGCGGTCGTGGCTGCGTTATAACAGCAACCATCTCTCTTTGCTCTCAGTGAGAAACCAAGTTTGCGTTGCCAAGGTAACCTCAGCCAAATTGCCAGCAATGACTAAGCAAAGGGAACCATTTTGTTTCATTGACTGCTCTTCCTATGGGCATGCGAGAGTCCGCCGGTAGCCATCACGAGTTTGTTGTCATTTCATCTTTGACACGCTTAAACAAAATCATTTTATTGAAAGAATAAATTAATTAACAGGCACGTTCTCGTTACGACTTGCGTGCATATTTTTACAAATGCAAATAAGTGTCTGTGACAGCTTTACACAAACACCTGAGCGTCAGAAGACAGAAAAGAGTGAGATGTTGAATGAAATGAGTCTGGGTGGGAGGCTTAAAGACAGATTATTTTTATGGCTCTGTCACGTAGTAGCAACCCTTCAACAGGTGATGCAGGATGATGCATCCATTAATCTCATATGCTCACAAGCACCCGCGCACAGATTAATATTTAACCAAAGCAGCTGTCATAAACTCGGTGATTTCCCTTCTGCTGCAGCTTCATGGAGCAAATGAGCAACAAAGACAATCTGCAGAAATCTGCGTTTAATGTGTTTTCACAACGTTCAGAAAAGCATAAATCTCTTTAAAATCCGTTTCAAAACATTTACTCTAATTTTGTCTTCTTAAGCAACGATTTTACTTTTCTGCTACTTTTAGATTCAGCTAGCCTTTTACCTTTCAGCCAAACTTTTATTTTGGTACTTTTGGCTTCTAGCTCCCCTTTAGCAACATTTGGCTAGCAAGCATTGTGCTGCTTTAGTTAGCCTTTTGCTAATTTTAACTTCTAGCTAATGTATTGCTTCAAGAAATCAAGAAAGCTCGTCAGAGACTCTACTTCCTCAGGCGGCTGAGACGAGCTGGTCTGGAAGCTCAGTCCTCACCTCCTTCTACAGGTGTGCAGTGGAGAGCATCCTGTGCTCCAGCATCAACGTGTGGCATGGAGGCTGCACAGCTGCAGAAAGAAAAGCTTTGCAGAGAGTGGTGAAGGCTGCACAGAAGATGTTGGAGTCAGCCTCCCCACCGTCACAGACATCTACACCTCCAGATGCAGGAAGAGGGCCACCTGCATCATGAAGGACCACACTCACCCAGCACACACACTTTTTGCCCCACTCCCCTCAGGAAGGAGGTTGAGGAGCATTAAGTGAAGAACCACTAGACTGAGGAACAGCTTCTACCCTGAAGCTGTTAGACTCATGAATCTCTAGCTAGAAAAATCACTGTGATGCCACTTTGATTGGAGATTTGTCACTTTGTGCTGCTGATTTCTTACCTGCTGCTGGATTCATACCCATCTGCTCACAACAGACTCATGTGCAGGCTGCTGTTTAATACACCATATTATATTATTATTGTGGCATATATCTTAGATCCTTGTATACTGTTTCTTTTTTATAATTTATACTTTTGCTATTTTTGGGTGTAACTGGGACCTTGAGTACAATTTCATTCCACCTCATGTACCACATGTGATGGGAATAACAATAAAATCACTTTGAACTTTGCTTCTTTTTTATTTTAGCTCTTCTTTAGCTACATTTCATTTATGTTTTGCAACTTTTGGCTTTCGTTTAGTGCTTTGTTTGTTTTAGCATTTAGCTAACATTTTGTTCCTTTGGTCTTTAAGCGAGTTTTCTGTTTCTTCCCGCTTGAGTTTAGCTACTTTAGGCTTTTAGCTAGCATTTAGCTCCTTGCTTTAGTTTAGCGTTTACTGTTCTGCTTCTTCAGCTTCAAAAGGTTAGTTTCAGCTTCTTTAGGAAATTTCTGCAAAGCCACTCAACACTCAGAAGTCAAACGGCGTTTTTGAAAACAATTAATCAATAAATCTTTATTTTATTTGTATTTTCTTTGCGTCCTGCAGCAACAAGTTATGACTTTGTAAAAATCTGAATTTTATTAGACAAAAGTAACAAATGAAACATGTTTACAGCAAATAAAACATGTTCTCTTAGCTGTACGTGGTTCTGAATCCCATGGGAACCGACTGCTAAGCCTCCATCACAAGACTGCTGAGCTGTGCCAAGAACC